TGGTGATGATCACACAAAGAGAACAGTGTTGCAGAACAGAGGGACCTCAGGGTGCAGGTACATAATTCTTTCAGATTTGTGTCACATATATTCAGGATAGTTAAAAAAGCATTTGGTGCACTTGCCTTCATTGTTCAGTCCTTTGAGTATAGGAATTAGGATGTTATGTTGAGCTTGTACAGGACATTGGTAAGGCCTCTTCTGGAGTATTGTGTCCAGTTCTGGAAGGATATTATCAAGCTGGAGAGGGTTCAGAAGAGATTTACCAGGATATTGCCAGGTATGAAAGGTTTGAGTTATAAAGAATGGCTGGTTGTCTGGAACTTTTTTGACAGGAGCATATGAGGTTGAGAGGTGACCTGACAGAAGTTTCTAAAATACTGAGGGGTATAAATAGATTGATTGTGGTTGTCTTTTCCCTAAGATGGGGAATTTCAAGACTAGAAGGCACTTTTTTAAGGTGAAAGGAGGGAGGTTTAAAAAAAGACATGAGGCAAATATTTTACACAGAGGTGGTTTATGCATGAAATGAATTTCCTGAGGAAGTGGATGATGCATGTAGAATTACAATGTTTTAGAGGTATTTGGATGGATTCATAAATAGGAAAGGTTTGAAAGGATATGGGCCTGGAGGAGACAGGTGACACTAGTTTAGTTTGGAATCATGTTCGGCATGGATTGGTTGGACCGAAGGGTCTATCTCTGTGTTATATGGCTCTATGACTTCATAAAAAGATTGCAGAGGAACATAGATGGGACAAAATCAATGCAGATAGAATATAGTGAGAAATAAAATAAAGTTAGGCACTTTGGCAGGAGGAAGAGGCGAGATGAATATTAACAATTTACCCCACTCAATCCACTCAACCAAAGAATTCCTCAATTCCATCAAGGACATAAGGATAGATGACGAGGAGACCATGATATCGTTTGATGTCACTGCCCTATTCACATCAGTAGACATACCACAAGCAAGGGAAACAATGACAACACTACTGGAACAAGAACAAGACCCCAGTGAAACTATCTCTACAGACAACATGCCGAAACTACTGGACCTATACCTCGCCACCCACCTCATTTTCAACGGCCAAACAAACGAACAAATCAACGGGACACCCAGGGGATCACCTATCTCTGGACTTATAGCTGAGGCAATGATGCAAAGACTAGGAAGTACGGCCCTTCCGCTAATTTGACCAAAACTATGGATATGCTACATGGACGAAAGCTTTGTCATCATTAAATGGACCAAACTAGAGGAGACACACAAACTTAAAAACAACACCCTCACCAGAATAAAATTCACCAGAGAAGAGGAGAAGAACAAACAGCTTCCATTCCTGGACATCATGGTAGAGCGCAAGACAAATGGGGAAGTGCAAATGAAAGTATACAGAAAAGCCACACACACGGACCAGGTACTGAACTTCAACAGTAACGATGCTAACACACATAAACGAAGCTGCGTGCAAACACTATTTAAACAGGCAACAACACACTGCAGCAACACGGAACTACGCCAAGAGGAAGAAGAATACCTCTTCCAGGTTTTCAAAGATAATGGATATCCAAAAAACTGGGTCAGAAGATGCCTAAACGAACAACATCAGGAAGATACTACACGCCCTGACACACTCATCACACTACCCTACATCAGGAACACATCGGAACTAACCACAAGACTCCTACGACTGCTGGGCATCAGAGTGGCACACAACCCCACATCAACCCTACATCTGCTCACCCGAACCAAAGACTCACTCCCCGCTACGGACAGGACCAATGTCATCTATAAGATTCCCTGCAGAGACTGTGAGAAACACTACATCGGACAAACAAAAAGGAAACTAACAACAAGGGTACACGAACACCAACTGGCTACAAAAAGACACGACCAATACTCACTCATCTCTATCCACATAGATAAGGAAAAACACCAATTCGACTGGGGCAACACCAAAATCCTGGGTCAAGCTAAGCAGAGGCAGGCACGGGAATTCCTAGAAGCCTGGTACTCCACGAAGAAAGCCAGCAATAAACACATAGAACTCGACCCTATATACACTCCACTGTGAAGGAAAACAGGAAGTGAGGCAATCCAGCTCAACGGACTCCAGAGTTTAAAAACCAGGCGGGAGAACACATCAGCGTTTCATCGAAGGCTGCACTGATGATGTTACCCAGCATGGTAACGAAACATCTGCGGAACAATAAACCTGCTCGGCGAGCCAACCAACCTCAACACTCACAACCCGAGCTACAAATCTACTCCAAAACCTTAGAGATGAATATTATTTAAACACTCAGAAACTACAGAAAGACACATAAATAGGGATTTTCATATCCTCATCCATGAATCATGAAAAACTAGCATTCAAATTCAGCAGGTAATAAGGAAGTGAATTAGAATGTTGGCCTTTATTTCAAAGGGAATGAAGGATAAAGGTAAGGAGATTTTGCTGAAACTATATAAGGGCACTAGTTAGACCAGAAATGGGATACTGTGAACATAGGGGCCCCTTTTCTAAAGGATGATATATTGCATTTGAAGCTGCCCAGAGAAGACTCACTAGGCTGATAACATGCATTGAAGGATGTATAATGAGGAGAATTTGGGTGGGTTGGATCTATTTATTAGGCGGTTGGAATATAGAAGATCAAGCGGCAACCCGATTAGAACATAAAGGACTCTTATGGGACTTAACATGATAGATGCAAAAATATCATTTCCACCCAGGGAAGAGTCAAGGACCAGAAGGCATAATCTCAGAATAAGGGGTCGCACAATTAAGATAAAATTGAGGAAGAATTTCTTCTCTCAGACAGTAGTAAATCTGTGGAACCTTTACCACAGAAGACTGCAGAGGTTGGATCATGAAATATATTCAAGGACGAGATAGACAGATTTTTTTATCTGTCAGGGAATCATGGAAAAGGAAAAGACAGGAAGGTAGAGTTGAGGATTATCTGATCAGGCATGATTTCATTGAAAGATTGAAGCAGACTCAATGGGCTGAATGGTCTACTTCTACTCCAATGTTTTATGGTCTTAAAGGTGTTATGAAATTGTCAAATGTGTTTCTCACTGATCTGTTGTCTATCTGACACATGATCTGATGTTGGTCCCATTTGGTAAAGATATGTGCTAACCTGTGCTGTATTTGATTTGCTGTGCAATCGAGCAGTTTTACAAAATCTAAGGAATTGTGCTTTCAGTCTCTGCCAGTTTGTTGATTTGTCAAATAAATCTGATTTTTTTTTTGTGATGGGAAAATTGGTACCAATGAATTTTGTTGCATAGTTTAATTTTTAATAGATATTTGAGTTTGTTGACCATTTTCTTGATTTGGCAGAATTTTGGTAGGATTTTAATCTCCTTATGCTGAACTCATTTTGGGTCTTATGGAATTCTTAGTTGATTAAATTTAGTGTTGAATTTTTATTATCAGAAATATTGTTGATATTGAGCTACAATCTGCTCATTTTTACGACTGTTTAGCACAACCAGGCCTGTGTGTGTTTATTTGGCAGGTACGTAGTTTCAAAACGAACGTTTTTTTCCTAAAGGTGAGGGTATTACACTAAACTAAGTCTAACATCTGTTAATTAAAAAATGCACAGTAATAAAGAAGAAACATTGAGGGAAAATAAAATATCATAAAGAGGTGTTTAAAATTTTATTGTAATTTTAAACAGTCTCATTCATATTTCCTGATATTTGACAAAAGGTATTACAATGTTGTTAATGTTTGTTACAGAATTGCAGTGAATGAGTCAGGAACTAAAAGCTACTGCAGTCTAAGAAAAGAAACACCAAATTTACCAGATCATTATATTCAATAATACAAATATTTAGAGATTGAAGAAATGAAATATTGAACATCATTGAAAGGAAAGAGACATGTTGCCGAAGCTTTGAGAAACATCACGTATGAATTTCAGCGCTCATATGATATGCATTTGGGCCATAAATCCCAGGAACTGGATCTTTGAGTGAAATAGCATGTGCTTCAAGCAGCACATGTTTCCAAGCAGAAATCAAAAGCCTGTTGTTGGATGTGATTTTTGCAAATGCAAAGCACTTCCTGAACAAACTAATAACTACACAACAAACAATTTAAATAATCAATGACTTTGTAATGTGGCTCATTTATATTTGCTAGAAGTAGCATAAGTCCCTACACAAGGAGAGTTCTCTGCAAACAAAAGGAATATGTACAAGCCATGCACTATTTGAACTATTAGGGAGTTTTAGGATTCCTTCTTGTTATCACCATAGCAACATTTCAGCCAATTAAAATAAAATCAAGTTAAAGAAAACAATAATGTAAAACTAAAGAAAAATTAGTTATCATAAGTGAATTTGTTCCGAGAAAGTTTTTCTTGTAAGTTTACATTTATTCTCATGGTTACATATAGTTTTCACAGTAATAGGTTGACAAGTCAATGGGGATAAGTGGAGTGTATGTCTTGTGGTATGTATGAAGTCATGTACATACCATATGTCCCAGACAAATACATCTGTAGGAAGTGTCAGCAGTTGCTGACGCTTGATCTCCAGGTTTTGGAACTTGAGCAGCAGCTGGAATATCTATTGTGCACCTGTGAGGCAGAGTACTATGTGAATAGCACATATAGGGAAGTGGTAACACTGCAGATTAGAAGACTACAGGAAGAGAAGGAATGGGTGACTACCATGCAGTCTAAGAAAACCAGGCAGGTAGCACAATTCTCCCCTGAGTCTAATGTTCTTGCCAGTTGGTATTCTATTTTGGAAACTGGTGAAGGCGATTTTTTTTTTTAATCTCTGCCTGGACTGTCAAGAGAATTGCATTGCGCTATGCGACTCAGCTGTACAGATGCAGAGAAAGAAGATTGGAAGAGCAATACTAATAGAGGTTACCTGGGTCAGACGATCAGACAGGCGTGACTCCAGGATGATGTGTTGCTTCCCTGGTGCCAGGGTCAAGGATATCACAGAGCAGCTGATGTGTATCTCCTGGAGGAAGAGGATCAGCCAGAAGTCCTGGTTTACGTTGGTACCAAAGACTTAGGCAGTCAGAGGGAAGAGAGCCTGAAAGCAGAATTCAGGGAGTGGGAAGGAAATTAAAAAGTAGGACCTCAAGAGCAGTAACGTGAGGATTATTCTCAGTGCCACGTGTTAGCGGGCATAAGGGCAGAAGGATCAATCGCTTGAACACATGGCCGGAGAACTGATGTAGGAGAGAGCACATCAGATTTCTGAGGCACTGGGACCAGTTATGGGCAATGCCAGTCAATTTCACTGGCAGTCACTCCACCACATCTTTTGGAGTAAATAGGAGGACTGGAAAACAAATGTTAGTACCCTTCTTGAACCCAGTTCCACAAATATTCAGCCAGATCACCTGCAAAGTCAATTACAATGTATTGGATACTGTGTCCATATGGGTGAAAAGCTTTTTCACCATCAGGTCTCAATTCTCAATAGACAGTTTGAGGGGCAGACAGAAAAAAAACACTGCCCTGAAACATAAGGAGAATTAATTGACATTAATGACTGGAAGGAGCTTATTATGAGTTTATCAAAATGGCAAAGCTTGCTCATCAGGCTTCAAGTCCAAATGCTATAATAATAAAGGCAACTCTGTGGCAGAGATTAAAGGAATATATTCTTATACACACAGATCAATTAACAGAAATCTGCGTCTACTATGACCAAATTTAAAGAAACCAATCAATAAGCTAAAGAAAGACATTTTATTTTGTCAAAAGATGCCCAAGGCCAGGGCACCTTTAAAAAAAAAACTCAGGTTTGTATGTATTATTATGAGATATGGATTAAAGTCAAAGTATTTTGTTTTTACCTGGGGTGAAAGCCAGCCTTTCAACTTGGTGAGAAACCTGTAAGATGTATCAGAAATATTAATGATGACAGTTCACCAGCAGCAGTAGTTTCTACAGAATCGTTCTGAGTCTGGTGAAGGGAAAAGCATCCATTCTAAACTTAAAAACTTGCAAGATCAAAACATACCATTAATTCCAATCAATCTTACTAGCGAAGTGATATAGCACAAGCATTTCTTAAGCAAGCCCTCTTTTCAATAAATGCCTGTTGTTTTCAGGCCAATCATGTGCCAATATCCTGAATCCTCCCCACAATCCCCAATCCAGTGAGAGAATAACACTAATGTCACAGGAATGTATATTTAAATTTTTTTTTAAATGTTGCTTAGTCATGCAAGACTGGAGTATTGCTGAAAACAAGGGACATGTTGTTGAAGCTTTTTGTCTCATGCTCACCAGGATAGATGCTAGAACAAATTTCACAGGAAACAACAATTTATATTGCATGAGAAAAAGGCTGCTGATTGGTTTGTTGGTGGACTCCAATTCGTGGAGCCATTTTCATGGAGAATTCAATAGGGAACAGTTATCCCACAGGCTTTTGTTTAAATTCAAAACAGGCAAGTCAACACTGATTGGTTGTGGCATTGTTGAAAACCTGGTGGTCCCTGAAAGAATGAGACTGAGGAATTTACGATGGGAAGCAACAAAATGGCAGAGACCTCAAACCAGTATTTTGTAACTGTCTTCAAGATTCAAAGCAAAAACATCCCGATACTAATAGAAGAAAATAATGGCAAAGGGGCAGGAGGAAGCTAAAACAATTACTGTCTCCAGTACTAAAAAACTAATGGGACTGACGTCTGACAAGTCCCGGGGACTGTTCCTGTCCTTGTATCCCAGGATCACAAAAGAACTGGAACATCTATGTCTTCTCCTATTTAATATGGTAATATTTCCTTCTTTATCACTATCTGACACTCACTCATTGATGTACCATGTTTCTATCTTTCTGCCTCAACATGGTAATACCCATCCTCTTGTCGATTTAATTTAAATCCTCCCAATTACACCAATGAATATTCTTGTGAGGACATTAGTCTCAAACCTGCTGAGCTATAACCTGACTCCTTGAATAGGGACATCCAACGCTGGGCTTAATCCTAATATTTAAGAAACTGAAGCCCTCTCTCCTTTGCAAAGTCTCAAGCCAAATATTGATCCTCTCTATCTCCTCAAAGCTACTCTTGCTAGTGTATAACAAGTGAAGTACATTAGGGATTAACACTTTCAAGTTCTTATCTTTCTCCCTAGTTCCTGAAAGCCTGACTGCAGGATAACAATGTGTCTCAATGCACTCTCATTGGTACTGATGTACACTACAAATTCATGGTTTCTCCCTATGCCCTATAGAATACTTTGCACCCTTTTTGTGATGTCCTTTACCCTGGCATTCAGTAGGTAACACACAATGTACAACTTACAATGATCATATAAAAACATCTGCCCTTCCCCCATAAGAATGTCATATAACAACTCCATTTGTATTCTTTGCTGTGCCCCCTTGTGCATTTCCTAGCACATAGTGTCATATACCTATCTGCTCTCCTTTAAGGTGTTGTCACTCCCAGCAATTTCCAATGCTAGGCCATTAATTTCAAAATGGCATACATCCTGAAGGCACGTGTACCACCTGCCTCTTCCCAATCCTCCAGGTAGCCATCCATCATGCTATCCCGAACTCTAAACGGCTGCTTAGTAGGAAAAATAGTGTAAGTAATGACTGTTTTTCGTCTCTGTCACTCCTTCAATTTAACAGGCACCTCCATGGTCCTAAATGCATGACACAAAAAAAATCAAAAATATTTCATGTGCAATTGACCTTGCAGTTTTAGGTAGGTAGTTAGCCATTTTCCACAAATGACCATAGGCATCCTTCCACATTAGCGAGAAATAATTAGTTATACATAGCTTGAAGGACACTATTCCACACGTGTGGATCAAGGCAAGGTGGCACACCTCCATGAATTACTACAACTGTCATGGGGATTGAATATACACAGTCAACATCATTCTACATCACAAACTATCCATGTACACAATGAAGCTCAGCAACACCAACACGTGGTAGCATTAAAAAAAACTTAATGTAGTTGACTTAACTAGTGGCAAAATCCATTGATGGTGCAGTACTATTTAACTTTAATTACAGCATGAAGAGCAATTGTCATTACAAAGGCTTACCTGTGTACAGATATTAGTTGGTTACATCTTTTTCATTCTCCAAATCAGTATAAAAATGTGAAAGCAGCAGTTTTAAATGGATCATGGCTGGTGGAGTAACAACCTTAAAGAGACTGGGGCCAGTTGACAGGAGTTTTAAAGGGACCAAGCCTTATGGAACAGTAGTCATAAAGAAACTTGGACAAGGCAACAACCATTTTAATTTTCACATGGCTTAAAGTGGGATTGTGCAAAGTTTTACAATAGAGTCATAGATAGCAGAAACTTTATTCTGGATTGGGTAGCATCCAGCAATACCTTTGCTAGACAGCAACTGATCAAATAGCATATGCAGTTATATATTACAGGTCAAGTGAAAGATAATCTGAAGATAAAAACTGTAAAAATCTCACTTGCCATTGGCAAGGACAGGCTCTCCAGCACTAACACATCTGGTGTTTCCATAAATGATCAGGATTGATGCAATATGCCTCACAGACTTGGGGAAAATGTAGACAGCTTGTCAGTAAGTGTGACAGACATTTGTACAAAGTTGTTTGGTTTGGTGCAATAACATCAGAAAGTTGCTTTTCTTGGATACTAATGCAGGTCTCTTTTCTGTGCACCATTCAACTTTAGATTTGAATTGTTTCCATTCATTCAGTGGATGAGGGCCATGCTGGTTGAACAGCAGAGCACTGTACTTGTTCAACTACTTTGCCTTGTTGAGCTTGATTGCAAGTCCACACTGGCTCTCCTGTTTGAAAGACTTACGGCCTTCATCTTCTGTGTTAGCTTGTTGTATTTCCACTTTTGATTAAGATAAAGTCACTGTAGTCTTACCAGACCACAGGGCTGTTCTCTCATGAGAGACAGAGATGACTGGAGGTTGCTTGACCTGAGAGTCACAATGCCTGAAGTGAGGGGACCAATTCATAGTACCTTCAGCTGGTTCAAGAATTGAACCAATGGTGTTAGCATCACTCTTCATCACAAACCAATTGTCCAGTCAACTAAGCTAACCAATTCCCACTACACTTTTGATTAGAATAGCACTCATTCTCTCACTTCCTTAGCTTGATTGGAGACTTTCTGTCTTTTTTTTCCTTTTATTTGCCCAGCAACTGTGTTTGTTTTGTAGTCATTTTGTGCCTCTGAAACTACTGGCATCTCTGATTTGGCTGCATGTTTAAAACTTGTAAATTTAGGTGTTTGATATTTAGTTTTCTCCATAAGTATCATTCCCCCCCAGGCATTCTGCTTCTATCTATGCAGATTGTGGTTTTGCTTGTTCCATGGTTTCTGGTTTTTTTTATTGCTGTTGCAAGATTTGACTTTGCTCTTTTCTGCTTTCCTGGTTCCTTGAGAAGTTGTGGAAGTTTACCTTTAGGCTGTTCAGGCCAACCTTTGTGGTGGCTTTCCAATTCTTGCACTCTGTATAAATCACTCTAAGCCCATCCAAGGTTAAAAGTTAACAACTCTGACTCCAGATCACATATAAAATGTCAGGGATTTTTTGTTTTACTTCCTATCTCTAAGTGTTGCATTAATTTGTTCTATGACTCCAGCTTTCTCCTTCTGGGTCCGTGTTGTTGTTTCCATGATTGCTGAAAGGAATTTTGCTCTAATTATGGTTCAGTATCTAAAAGAATAGAAACTGCTGCACGAGTACCTAATTAAAGCACGTCTTATGTCCATCGACTAAAATCTCAGTACTGCAGAATTTTCACTCAGTCCTTTGACCTTGTCCATGAACAGCATTTCTACGTCACTGATATCTTTCATTTCTTGGATCTTGGCTCATTTGTGAGTTTCTTCCTTTGCTAATACTGTATAAGCTTTTCACTATAACACTGTTTTAAAGTGACCTATCATCTGGCAAAAATTGCGACCTGCTGTTTTGGTGGGGCAATTTTCACATTGAAGCCCCTCTCACCATATTAGCTAGTTAGCGGAGATGGTAGTTCTACACTCTCTGTGCCTCTGCTGTTACTGTTCAGACATGTATTCACTTTGAAAACAAATTCACTGAGCCAGCCGTGTTTTATTTTAAAATAAGTGATGTCACCCCAAAATCGCTGAATTATTCTGTTTTCCAAATTTAGCCTGCCTGCAAGTCATCTCTCAACTGCAAGAAGTCTGATTATGTTTTGTCTACGTCTCCAACAAGTTTGCCCCTGATTAATTCTTTTACATTGCCACATTCACAATGCTCCACTAGCTTGTATTTGATATCGATAAATCTACCAATACTTTCTCCCAGTAACTGAGTGTACTTCTTATGTTTTGCTCATTTAATAAAGGCTTTTTCTGGAGATTGATGGATGCATTCAGTGTTTTTATTACTTTGTCACATGCAGCCTTTCCTTGTCAATAGGACATCACCTGCACAAATCCTATTTGTTTGCTGTTTAACAGTTCATTGAGAAGCCAACATGGAGCAATACCTTGTAAGTATTCAGGACCAGTTCAGCTGTACTTTAGCAAGACTGACTGCTGCCATCTGCTTGAAGTTTTTGGGTTGTAGCATTGAATATGTCTTTTTTTAGGCTGCTGCTCATTCATCTCCTGTTACCATCTACTGTTCTTTATTCATTCGTGGGGTGTGGGCATAACTGCCAATGTTTCGTCTGCATGTGTCTGCAACCGTTCCAATCTTCCATTGACACGCTGATCACAGCATTGACATCCAACGCCTTGGAAACCCACTCAGCTGGTAAGAAAATTAAAGGGAATGCTGGTCCCTGGTTTGCCCAACCCTAAATGTCCTGGAGTAGGTGGATGTGAGCTGCGTGCTTGAACAGCTGTAGTTCTTGGGATGTAAGGGTTTCCCGAGTTCTTTCAGAAAGAGTTTCAGGATTTTGACCTGTGACCACTGAAGGAAGGCTGATATAATTTCAAATCTGGATGGAGTGCAACTTGGAGGGGAACTTGCAAGTGGTGTTGTTCCAAAACATCTCCTGCCTTTGTCCTTCTATGTGATAGCGGTCACCA